TCCGTCTCAAAGTTGGAGAGAAACAATATTGTTTTTTTTTTTTCTTTTTTTTTTCTTTTATTTTTCCTGAATCCAATTGAAAACCGTTTCTTTCGATTTACGTTTCTGCTTTAACGCGGAGTTGTTGTTTTTCTTCTTTTTCTACTTCTTCTCTCTCTCTCTCTCTCTCTCTCTCTCTCTCTCTTTCTCTATCTATTTGTCTCTTTCTCTCTCTCTCTCTCTCTCTCTCTCTCTCTCTCTCTCTGTTTCACTTTTAACACGTGTCACGTACGACGGAATCAGAAACGAATGTTGATTTAATAGCCTCCATCTCGTTTGCGTAACGATATGTATGTATGTACCCTGCTACTAGAAAAAAAGAAGATGAATCATATATCATCAATTCATTAGTAAATCGATTTGATCAAGCGGGGCAAACAAAAATATAATAATATGGAAGAATAGAAATGAGCTCACTTCATTGTGGAAAATGATTTTATTTCTTTTTTTTTTTTCTTTATTTTTCTTCTCTCTTTCTTTTCCATTTCCCACCTACGTTAAGTACATTTACGATCATCATTATTTATCATTATTATCATTATCATTGTCATTATTATTATCTATTATTTTTTTAGTCGTGAATTTTAACCAAATCGAAAGTAGAGGAAAGATAGATAGACAGACAGACAAAGAGAGAGAGAGACAGACGGAGAGAGAGAGAGAGAGAGAGAGAGAGAGAGAGAGAGAGATCTCTATGGAAGACACAAACGATATATTTCTATGTTAGATGTGCGACTATGGAAGAAAAAAATGTTTTATGCATGGTCACTGGTGGCAGGATTTCAGGGCCAAGGGTAAACAAATCGTTGATCTCTTCCTAGAGAAAGATAGAGAGAAAGAGGCTAGAGAAAGAGAGAGAGAGAAAGAGAGAGAGAAAGAGAGAGTAAGAGAGTAAGATTGAGATAGAGATAGATAAAAATAAAGATAGAGAAAAAAGGAGAGAGAGAGAGAGAGAAGAAATTTCTCAATTCTTACTACCTGCTCTATTCTAACTCGACATCGAAAAAAGGAAATCTTTTACGGTTTCCTTTTAATATCTTTAACTTCTTTTAAGAATGGTTTAGAAAAATAGACATGTACGTATCCATATATATCTGTCTACCTATATATTTATTTATTTATGACAAATATGATAGATCAAACAAATTATCACCACCTTATATCGTTCGATCAGTTGGATTTTTTCCTTTGTTTCTTTCACTTTCTTTTCTTTTTTTTCTTTTTTTCTTCTTTTTTTGTCTTTTCGTTATTATTCCTTTCTAACCTTTCGATTTTACTTTTATTTCTTTTTCCACGTTAATTGTATGTCCTATGTTTTTTTTTTCCTTTCTTTTCTTTTTTTTTTTTTTTGTTCTTTTTTTCTTCCTTTTTTTTTTTTTCTTTTTTTTGTCCTTTTTTTTCTTCTCCCTTTTTTCTTTCGTCCATTGTTTGCTTCTTTTTCTCTTCCTTAAATTTCTCTTTTCC